CGCTGCAAATGTATGCCAACATCCCTGACTTTGGTGGAGTGATCTGTATCAAGAGCTTTTGCCATTTCCCGTATCATGGAGGAGAAATAAGCTGGCTCTCTGTGCTCTCGAGTCCTGCTCCACTGAATGTATGTCCACATAAAGTAGTAGTTGTTCTTGCAACAATATGCTTAGCAATAGTTTGTAATGCAGCAGTCATGGTTGGAACATAGGTTTTCTGAGCACAAATCAGCCTGTTAAGGAGCAGGGATGTTACACCTTTGGAGCCCTAGTCTGAGGAACACTCAGTGACTGGCTGCACAGGTTCAAACAGGAAGATTCCCTCTATTTTGCTTCAAAATGTCCCTATGGCTTAGCCCTAAGTTGGTGTTGGGTAGTGAGATCAAGGATCATAGAGCGGAAAAAGCAAATCACCAGCCACCAAACTGTATCATTCTACTGGGAAAACTCAATTAGCTAACAGTGAGCCTCCTGAGGAGCTGTAGTAGGAAACTATGTGGTAGGAAAGGCCAGCAGGGGTCGACAGTGGGCTTCTCCCACTGGCTAGACACTAAGAAGTCATGTCCCAGAATGTCAGCAGACCAGAGCTCAGAGAGCCCTGAATTCAGCCTTAAGGATTTCCACCCAAGAAGCTTAAAGCTGAGGAGACACTCACGATCTTGATGTGGACAGTCTCCATGATTGAAGAAATGCTTTAAAGTTTTGTATTTTAAAATGCACACTCCAAACGCCAATGACTTAAAACCATTTCTCTTAACATTGAATCAAGTTAGTGAATCAGAACTGCTTTCTCTTCTCTTTTCCCCATGCTTTTTACCTTCCTGGTATGCCTGGCCTTTGTACAACAGCTTTGCTTGAGTAGAGTACTCGATTCAAGGAGTAGAGTCACCCCACCTCCATTTGTTCACCTTCACCAGGCATCCTCTCCCTGCCAGATGTGATACTAAAAACAAAGAAGCAAATCTTTGTTGCAGATTTCCCCAAAGTCCATAGTGTTCTGTGGTAGAACTGAGACCACTGCTCATTTCTCTGCTTCTAGTTTGGAGAAAATAGCCCATTTTCTTTTCCAGCACTCTACATGTCTCCTTTAAGCCCTGGAAAGAACTCAGGAAAATGGTTAATATCAGACATTAACCTAGTGGAAAAAGGGCTTCTTGGGTTTCTCTGACAGATTATGCATGAGTGGGCACCTCACAGGGCCATTTTTTATTTGTTCCTAAATAATACTGATTCCTGAAGTTTGGTGGATTGTTTTTGGAGCCTGCAGTAAATTGTACTAGCTGTGATGGGGGTTTAGCTCTATGTCTTGGCTCTGAGTATCTCATAAAGTTTAGCTTCCAAAATACTATCTTGCATAGGCTGAAACAAGGTCACCCATTCTTCTTGCTCCTTAGCTTGGCATTCATTATTTAACTAACATGTTTATTATAACACTTCTTTACTCTTAAAATTTTCGCATGTGTTTACAATGTAATAAGATTATACAAACCCCCAATTTCCTCCTCCAAGTCTCCATATATTATCTCCAACATGCCCCCTCCCAACTTCCTGTCTTCTATTTCCTAAAAATAAGAGTAAAATAAAAATCCATGAAGTCCCAATTAGTGCTGCCCATATGTGCATGAGTTGTGGGGCCATTCACCAGAGCATAAGAAACACACCAGTTGGAACACCCTCAAAAAAGAATGGTTCTCCCTCCCCAGCAGCTATCATCTGCCAGCAGCTCTTTAGTAAGGCGTGTGGAGCCTGGAGAACACCTCCCCCAGATATGGAAACATTGATTGGTTTGCTGGTTTGAATAGAAAATGTCCCTTCACAGTCTTGGGCATTTGAATATTTAGTCCCCAGTCAGTGATACTGTTTGGAGAGGCTTAGGTAGTTCCAACTTGTTGGAGAAAGTAGAACATGGGGTGGGGGTGGGTTTTGAGAGTTAACATGTCTTGCCTACTTCCATTTGCCCTCTCTGTTCTGTGCTTGCCATTCAGGATGTGAGCTCTCAGCTGCCCGTTTCTTTCATCATGCCTGCAGGCTGATGCCACGCTGTCCCATCACCGTGGACTCTACCCTTTGGAACCGTAAGCCAAAACAAACTCTCCTCCGAGTTGCTTTGGTCATGGTGCCATATCACAATACTAAAGTAACTAATCCAACAGCCTGTAAAGTACCTTACTATCCCATGAAAGCTAGTCAGTGGGGAGGAAGTTTCCCAATCAGTTAGAGATTAATTTCTCTGTATCCTGTATTCAAAATATGTGGTGTCTTCAGCTTGTGCTGTTTTGGAGACCTCTGGAGATGCCCTGACCAACAGCTCAGAGGGAGATATTCTGAGCTTTGAATTGAGATTTTTTTCATTTAATAATCCTTGTCTTCTGGGAGTGACCTTGTCCATCTATGCAGGGTAATTTTGTTTGAATGCTTGTTTAAAGTTATATTTTGGAATTAGATTACTAACTAGAGGATTTCAACAAAACTTTTATATACATCCTTGGTTTTAGGTAACCTACCTACTACTCCCTTCTTCACCCTGACACCACTCAATACACTCTTCTTTCATATCATATGTATTCTACTATCCCTCTAGTTACTATGTACTAGACTCTACTATATCCTTTTTAATTGAGTTGTGAGGTCGTAGGCTTCCAAATTGCTTCAATACACTCTTCCTTTAAATTAGCTCCTCCCACCCCCCATTTCTCTCATACTCCCACACCACTCCCTGCTTAAGCCCCTCTTTCTCTAGTAGCCTACCTCTCTGCTTCTGTTTCACTTATCATCTACTATCTTAGCTCACTCAGTGTTGTGCTGTGTTTTCATCAAGTGCATACTATGTGCCAGTCAGGGAACTAGGCTTAGAAATGAGAGATTTGTCTGTTGGCTGAGGTTGATGAGTCCTGCCCTCCACTCGTCTCTTTTTCCTCTACTCCCCTTTCTCCACTCAGCACACCTCTACAGGGAAACCTTTGCTCACGGCTATCCTGCTGCTTGCCATGGAGGCTGGAGATATGAAAGGTAGGAGACCTTTTCCACAAGCAACCCACACATACTCTTCAAGCCAATGTCCCCATTAGTAAAGCTGATATTTTGGTCTGACTAATTATGTGTACTTTCTGTTTGATTAGAGACCTCAGTTGGAAGAGGATGATTAATTCAAACACTTAGCATATCAGTGTTCCATTTTTTTTCTTTTAGTTTATTGCTCTGAGTTTAAAATTGAAATACCTCTAGTCTCTAGGCTAACCCATAATGTCTAGGGCTAGCTCATGATCACAGTTCCCTTCCAATGTCAAGATGTTTTTTCTTTTAAAAATAATGTTTTTACTATTTTACTGAGAATTTCAAACATACCCACAATGTATTTTGGTTATATTTATACCTGACGCCTCCTCCTTAACTCTGCCTAGATCTACTTTCCACTTCTGGACCTTTCCAACCTCCTGTCACATTGTTTTGCATATAAACCTCTGATTCCAACTATTTGCACTTCCCATATGCTTTCCATCAGTCCAATGTACTTTTAATCCATATGCAGTGTCTTTGTTTCTTTTGAGGTCTTTTTGATCTATTTTAGCAATCATTTCCCAGGGTTCTAAATTTTAGAATAAGCTCATTTTTATTTAACTCCATGCCCTGTTACCATTCCAAGGTGATAATTGCTTTAGCACAGGTCCTTTCCAACCTCAGAACAATTGGTGCTTTGAGCCAAACTGAAAGAGAGGTAGCCATCCTGTAGAATACCCAGCAGCACATTGGCCTCCACTGATTGGATGATGGTTAGCGTTCCTTTACTCCCACTTGTTAAGGACCCAAGACAATTCAGACATTGCCACATGTCTCCTGGGGAACAAAAATCTCTCCTGATTAAGAGTGCAAAACATGCAAAATGTTCAGGACACAGCCAGAGCAGAATCATGCCTTACTCTTCCTAACAGGACCAGGGTGAGCTTCCTAGATCAGAGACATTTGACCACAAGTTGGAAGGGCAAGTAAGAGTTCCCTGGTGGTCATAGAATAGTTTTAAATGTACATACAGAGAGGTGTCCATAGCCCTCTGTGATGGGCATTGACCAAACTCATATTTCCTACCACCCTAAGTACATCCTCAAAAATTCTACGGGTCACCTACCCAGTCCAGCTGGCTCCTTTTCAATGGTTTTGCTTATATGATTAGTGATTTCCTTCTCCATACCAACAAGTTTCCCCTTTGCAGACTGAATTTAGCTCTGTACTGTCTTTGAGAAAGGATTATCTTCCTCATGCAAATTCCTCTAGAGGTGAATTATTTTCTTTTAAGCATCATGTCTACACTTAGAATATCAAGAGAGGAAGTCATGATATAAGCCGGGGATCTAACTATACCAGATTCAGTTATTGTGAGGTATTTTAGGCATCAGTTCAGATGATCATATATTTTTTTCAGTTGTTGTGATGGTTTGAATGAAAATGGCCCCCATAGATCCATAGAGAGTGACACTAGTAGGAGGTGTGAACTTCTTGCAGTAGGTGTGACTTTGTGGGAGGAAGTGTGTCACTAGGGATGGGCTTTGAGGTTTCAGATGCTCATGCTAGACTCAGTCTCTCTCTCTTTTCCTCCTGCCTGCTGATCTGGATGTAGAACACTCAGCTACCTCTTGAGAACCATGTCTGCCTGCGTGCTGCCATGCTTCCCACCATGATCATGGACCAAACCTCTGAAACTGTAAGCCAGCCCCAATTAAATGTTTTCCTTATAAGAGTTGCCATGGTCATGGTGTCTCTTTACAGTAATAGAAACCCTAACTAAGTCATTGCACATTCGTGAGAAGAAACTTATGCTCTACTCACCTGGGGTATGACTCATTGAGTAATGTACTTGTCTAGGCATCTGGGAGGAGGGAATCTAGGAGGACTGTAGGAGGGGGAAATTGGTAGCAACTTTTTCCGGTTGCTAAACTCCATGGTAACACTGCGGTGGGTGGTGAAAGCCTCACAGTGGGAATAAATGAATCACAAGGAAACATCAATGAGTTTGGCCGTTTATTAATGCCACACAAAGACAAGCTGTGATTACTATCTGATTTTAATACAGAGGTACTCATCTGGTACATAAGGAGCGGAGGAGTCAGCTGGTGAGGGAGCACAGGAACACAGAGGAAGCAATGAGTTACCCATGTGTGTCATATCACCATTTTGGAGGACAATGATAGGTAGAAAGACATTTCCCCCATCACATTTTTAGTGACATAAAATAAAAATACTTGAATTAAAAATATTTGAATTAGCAACAAGAGTATATCAAATCTATTGGATAGATTATAGCACCAGGAAGCTCATGACATGTGGCCTTTCCCTGGGAGTGCAGATCACTGTGAATTGAGCACCAGTCAGGCTGTTCCAGAGCTTCATCTTGAAGTGAGAAAGGAGAAAAGCTAAGACTTGTATTCTCTTTGGTTTGCAATATGTAGCTTTCAGAGAACTTCAGCTAGCTAGAAGGGAAGTTAGGGTCTGAAATAATATAATCCATCCAATTTGTGCTTCAGATTCTTAATGGAGCTTGTTCAAAACAGACTCTCTGAAAGCATTGCAATGGAATGCCAGTGGAGACATGCCTGTCTCAGGAGAGCAGAAGGAGGTGTGTGTGTTCTTGTTTAAGAAAACCTATGACTGAACAGTTAACCCTACACAAGAAAGCAATCATTTGTTACAGGATATGATTCACGACTTGAATAAAGTATTCACTATGAAGTTTCCAGGAACATTGTTCTCTTATGGCACAATACTGTTTTTGATGTTCAAGAATTAAATAGCCTATTACTTTTTGGAGAAGGGCTAAGTCTACCACTCTGAAAAGCAATGTAAACCCAACATGATGTATTTAAGCACAAGGTCCTGTGGTGGACCTCTCTGGCTCATGGTAAATGTATAATCCAGTGTCTCTTGCTGAACTTCTTACTCATACCTTCAAGGTGTTACTGAAGGAGGACATGGGTGAAAAGTATCAAGGCCTCATATTTGATCCTGTGAAGACACTATCCAGTTCTTGCTATCACAGTCATCCTGATATTCAAGGTTCTTCTAGCATTTCAAGCACCAAGGATCTATGGTGTTCCAATAACCCACAGCCAAGCAGCTGACTGATGAGTCCTACAGCAAACACAAATGCCACGTGCCATAGAACAGTCTCACTATGATAGAGGAAAGGGATGTCCATGATGTGTGATCAGAGGTCTATTTCCTGTGTTTGAGGAACTGGAGAAAAATCTAGAATGGAGCACCTGGCCAGACCCTCTCCACAAGGCTTTTTATGTTCTCCACCACACGGGCAACAAATGACATGGTTTATTTATTTATTTATTTTTGCATTGGGAAATCTGGCCTAGTTTAGTTTGTTGAGGTCAGTAGGAATCCAGGTTTGTTCCTGAGTTTTCTAAGCCTGGTCACACCCAGGACTCTGATGTCATGTACTTTTACCCTGTGCTAGAACAGTACCAGATTAAGCTAAATTCACATGGCTTACTAAATTAATCCCTCTGAAAGCCTAGACTACTAGTCTTTGCAAATTTTCTCATTAGAAAAAGTCAGATTCTCCTCTACCTCTCCATTCCTCCCACTCCCAGAATAATGTAAGTATTTCTCTGAAATTGCTGTTTCACCAGAGTTTGTCATTGACCAGCAACGTTTATATTTAAAGATAGGATACAAGAAAGTATGCTTAACTACACATAAATTCCCTGGCTTCAGCAAATATGTACTTTCTCCTGTTTCTGGTATACCTTGAATCTTATCCAAAGCCCAGTGCTTTGTTTTCCACAGGAACTGATCAGAATAATGCACACGAGTGGCTTGATAAAGAGTTTAGAAGTACCGGGCGGTGGCAGTGCACACTTTAATCCCAGCATTCGGGAGGCAGAGGATCTCTGTGAGTTGGAGGCCAGCCTGTCTATAGCCAGGGCTACCCACAGAAATTCTGTCTCAGAGAGCAAAAAAAAAAAAAAAAAAAAATTAAAAGCACATAATATATAATGTTGTGTTCATGGTCTCAGAGCAAATGAAACTGGCATTGGCCAGCAACACCATCTCACACAAAGCCGAAGATGTCTATCTGGAAGTTCTTATTTGCTTAGCCATTCATATGACTACTAGCTCTGTTAGCTCTGCCAACATCTGGGTATTAGCACCAGGTTCAATAGCACCATTCTGCTGAACAGACAGGTAACTACAGGGAGTTATGGGGTACTGTATTCCAGAGTGAAGATGATGTATATTGGTGCATATGCCTACAACTATGCAGTCCATCACAGGCAGGCACACACTGCCTCCTCTCAAGAGCTCATTCTGGGGTCTCTCTCTGGGGCTTACATCTCTCCACACACCCATTCTTCCTGTCTAGCTTCAGTTCACAGGCTCGCCTGGAGATTTGCTCTGAGTTTGAGATCACAGCCTACTCTGCCTTCAGTAGGGGGCAATGGCTGGAATAAGCATTCTGACTTTTATCTCAGTGATCTGGATCCTCTTGACTTGCCTGGTCTCCACAAAGTAAACTAGCCTTTGTTTTTGATCTGTGTGTACAAATATATGCATGCATGTGTGTCGCTAGAGATCAAACTTACAGCCTTGCACATGCTAAATATGAATTCTGCCCCAGTTCTATATCTCTAGAGGCAAAAGACTTTTAAAAGTCACTAATGGGTACACTAACTAGATCATCTCTCCCAGTTCTTAGAATTTTTTTTCCTTCTAACTAAAGTATACATTTCTACTAAATTCTTAGACAGTACAATTTACCTGATTCTTTGAAGTGGTTTAACCTTTATAACTTCACTTTTTCTCTCAGGAGAGATAGGGTGAGTTGAGAGCCAGCACCCTGGTTATAGAAGTTTCGTATATAATCCTTCTGGGCTGAAGATGATGATTGGACCTGAGGTCCTGACCCAGATAGAGGCAGGACAGGAGAGAGAATGGTAGGCAGGGACATTCATCTGTTGTGTGACGGAATTGACAAAGCCAGGACAATTCAAAGAACAAAGGCCACATTTTCTTTCTTCTGCTAGCAAGAGGTTGATCTGTGCTCATTTGCCTTTTTAATAGAAACTGAACTGAAGTTAGAGATGACCTTCTGCATCATTGGGCTAATCCCCTCGGGCTGCATCGACGTCTGTGTGTCCTTAGTCCCGAACCTCCGTGGTCTGTCCCAAGATTTTAGACTTCCAGTTGTGAAGTCCTGCAGGGATGGAGGGGAGACTGAGGGTCAGCTAGCCTTCTCTTCCCGTCCTTATTGACTAGTGAATAAATGTTCCTAAAAACTGCCCCCGGGGCTACCCAAGGAAGCCAAGGAGGATATATTCTTGAAGACAAATTAAAAAGATTCTCTGTTCCCTGGGTAAGTGTGGCTGTTTCTTGATATTCTTGAGGTAGTTTGGAAAAAAGCTGTTCTCTATTTTTAATCTTTAAAGGGGAAAAGACATCTTTTTTCACAGACTTGCCTAATCGGGTTCTTTCCCCAGGCACTCATCTCAGCTGCTTCAGAATTCTCTCACATACTTACTTTGTCTTCCCATCAGGGAGCAGCTAGCACCAAGCTTTCTATGAGGAACATTTTGCAGCTAGACAAACACATTGCATTTTGTTTCGTTGTGATCTATAGTTGAACCTAGCATGTGTAAAGTGAAATGGTAATGAAGCGGCCTTCTGGACCATGTTCTCGAGCCGCAGGCTTTGGAGGTTGGTGATGACGGCTTCTTTCTGAACCTAGAGGGTGCCATGATTTTGGAGCACCTGCTGTTTTCTTTGCCTTTGGGTGTGGATGCTCTGTGTCTGCGGGCATGAGAGGCAGCACTGTGCTCTCACTGAGGGCACAGAGCATTTCTTCATGGATTTTAGCGTCTGGCAGAAGCTGGTTGAAAGCCTGTCCTTCGTGCACGTTAAATCTGTGGCAGAAGAAAATAATAAGAAATAAATGGACTGTGCCAATCAACAGAGATCCTCCCCTGGTCGTTACATGGAGAATGAGAGGCTGTGAGGTACTCAGCCCTAAACAGGTCATACATCTAACACCCCTCCGCACAAAGCTCAGGGATATGTGAGGAAGAGGAGGGAGAAAGGTTGTAGGAGGCAGAGGTGATGGAAAACACGAAGGAAATTGCTTCTATAATTACACATTCGAGCTCACAGCACTGTAACAGCATACACAGGACCTGTGGAAGCTTAAGCCAGAAAAACAAAAACAAAAACAAGACCCAGACTAGAGACAGGAAATGGGCATGAAATCTCACTGTCAGCCAAGGAGCTATTGATCTTGATAGCTTCCAGCGAGTCAGTTTTCATTCACAATGTGAGCCCCCATCGTTTGGCCACATGATAGGGCAGATTCCCACACCCAAGACTAGACAAACAGTTGGCCGCTGAGGCTTTCATCAAGGGCAAAGTTAAATTCAAGGGCAATTTGTGGGCAGTCTGACGGCCAGAAGGAAAATGCCTGCAGGTGCAGCTTTGGGGGGCAGTATGCTCGGGTAGCTCTAAGCACATACGACCTCTAAAGTTCTAGATGACACTCCTGGTAACCCCTGCTCTGCCCTTTCTTCAGTACACCAAACTAGAAGGCAGAACTGGTCTCTTTTCTCAGTGAAAGGAACCCAGAGAGAGTGTGTGTGTCTCTCAGCTCTTCTCTGTCAGAGAGACCCCCAAGTTTTAGCTTTCGCTGCGCTGACGGTGACAGTTGGGAAAACACACATCAGACTCAACAGAGAAGAAGGAAGAAAGAAGACTCAGATCTGGGGTGGGAAGGGGTGGGAGTGTGGAGAAGCTGATGTGGGAGGAGCTGGGGGAGAGAGGGTAAAAATGTTCAAAACACATTATATGAAATTCTCAAGGAATTAGTAAAAATGTCGTTTTAAGACAGCCAAAGACTATCCTTTGTAGGGGAAAAGGCACAACTTCTATTAATGTAATACTTTTTGTATCTACCAAGAAAGGACCACGGCAATTCAGAATAGTAGGTATTGAACAAACTATCAAGTATCAGACATTGTAGAGCATTTGTGTAAAACTGACGTCATTCCTGTGTGGTCAAGTTAGGCATTCCCATTGTGCCATGGCTGCCTGGTGGGCAAAGGATACCCGCTCACTCTTTGCTTTTGGGTCAACTCTAGACTTGCTTAGAGACGTTAGTAAATAAGATTCCTAGAGGGCCACTGGGTGTATGAGCCTGTCCCGGTAAGAATCTTGTTCACATAGCTACCAGACAAAGGGGCTGAGAGACACTGAAGCAGGCCTATGTACAGTCTACACTTGCAGCCAGGAGGACCCAAAGCCCGTCTAAATCAACAGGGCGTTGAACGACCTACTGATACTGAGAGAAAAGAAGGACTACAGTTGTAAACTGTGAGAAGAGGTGTTCTCCATGCAGCATCGTCAGGGCAACAGTTGCAAACAGCGTTTTACACCCTTTCCTGTTGCTAGAGTTTTCCTGCCTGGCCCACAGTCTGGACAAATCTCTCACCCGCCAGTCCCAAGCCGCTCAAACCCGATCAAGTAAACACAGAGACTTATATTGGTTACAAACTGTATGGCCGTGGCAGGCTTCTTGTTAACTGTTCTTACAGCTTAAATTAATCCATTTCTATTAATCTATACCTTGCCACGTGGCTTGTGGCTTACCGGTACTTTACATCTTCCTTATCCTGATGGCGGCTGGCAGTGTCTCTTCCCTGAGCCTTCCACTTCCCAGCTCTATTCTCCTCCTTGTCCCGCCTATACTTCCTGCCTGGCCACGGGCCAATCAGTGATTTATTTATTGACCAATCAGCAACACATTTGACATAAAGACCATCCCACAGTACTTCCCCTTTTCTTTTCTTAAAAAGGAAGGTTTTAACCTTTACACATCTCCAAAGTCAACTTGGTATATTTGGGAATTTGGGCGTAGCTTCTCTTACTACTTCCTGCTGGAGGGGGGCGCTGTATCTTATGGGGACACAAAGAATATTTTAGGATTATGGAGTAGTCCATGAGGTTGTATCGTCTGAGCCAGTTGCTTTGAAACGGTTCTGGATGTTGGATCATCTGGGCCATGGTGTCATCGGAGACCTTTCAGGGGGTCTTGGCTGGTCAAACCTGATGTGTCTTAATCTGGAACAAATCCATAGCCTCTGGCTTTCTGTGGGAACAAAAGCAGAATCTCCTTTCCAAAGCAACATATCCTTATATCCAAATTTTGAAGTCAAGGTACCTTTAAAATATACATTTTGGCATAACTCAACAGCTTTTGTAATCAAATGTTTTTTTTTAGTTACAAATATCAAAGAGAACATAATCCAGATTTTTTGTGTGGTAGCCATCTTTACGTGGCTTATTTTTTTATATTAGCTTGAGCCTATTGCTTTGAACTGCAGCCTTCTAAGCCTGAAACGGCGCTGGTGCTGTGGCTGCTGGCTCCGCCCACCTCAGCTTCCCAACATGGCGGCGGTATGCTTACCGCCAGCTCTGGGAGCCATCGTGGGTCTATGCTTTTATCCAAGCAGCGTGTAGCCCAGAAACCTCTTTTTTTGTTTTGTACTAGCAAAGGCTAAATCCACAATGTAGCTTAATGTGCCACTTGCAGAGGCCTCATTCCCGCCATATGGCGGCAGGTCGAGCGCGCACACTAGGAACCCGCCAGTAGCTCAAACCGGCAGCTGCCGCTCATTTGAGAGAGACAATTAGGAACTGTTTTTAGCTCCGTTTTAGAATCCTTTTTCTCAGTTTTTAGGTGGAAACTCTTGCCCCACGTTGGGCGCCATTTGTTGCTAGAGTTTTCCTGCCTGGCCCACAGTCTGGACAAATCTCTCACCCGCCAGTCCCAAGCCGCTCAAACCCGATCAAGTAAACACAGAGACTTATATTGGTTACAAACTGTATGGCCGTGGCAGGCTTCTTGTTAACTGTTCTTACAGCTTAAATTAATCCATTTCTATTAATCTATACCTTGCCACGTGGCTTGTGGCTTACCGGTACTTTACATCTTCCTTATCCTGATGGCGGCTGGCAGTGTCTCTTCCCTGAGCCTTCCACTTCCCAGCTCTATTCTCCTCCTTGTCCCGCCTATACTTCCTGCCTGGCCACGGGCCAATCAGTGATTTATTTATTGACCAATCAGCAACACATTTGACATAAAGACCATCCCACAGTACTTTCCTTCTTTTCATCTACATCAACTAAACATTCTCCCCATTTCACAAGTGAGAAAAATAGTCTCTAGCAGCTAAGAACTTGTAAGGTGTCATCTAACTGGATAAGTGGCACGGCCAGGTCTGCAGCAGGCAGCGTTGACTTTAGAACTCATTATCGCCCTGTTTAGAGTGCCCAGCAACCAGTCAGCTAATCTCCATGTTTCCTGAGCACTGCTCAGTAGAGAGGGGGATATGGATACACAGTGTCTTCTCCACCATCTAAAACTATATAGATGAAGACATGAGACATGAACAAATACTGCCTTCCACTGTCCCTACGGAACTATTACCCAAATTCTAATTCTTGTTCCTGAGCTTCAGATAAGGACTTAATTTTCTTTGTCTTGCTTTTCTCACATGCTCAGAAAAATTAGAATAGATTATACAAAGGTCATCCATACATACAATTCTGTTGTGTCTCTCCTTTTCTTTCGACAAGGTTTACTGGCCTTGAACTTGTAATCAGCTTCCCAGTGCTAGGATTATAGCACGTGCCCCCGATCCCAGCTTTTACATACACACTTCTCCAAGTGATTTTCCAAACACATTGGCCCACATACTACAGTACAGTACTAGTTCTAGGAGTTCACTTCTAGAAATTCAACGAGGTCCAATTTTTTCTTTGAGAAAGTGAAATTATTTCAGACTTTGCTTGAGTGCTCTGGTAGCCCTGGACACCTCTTTTCTTTTTTCTTTCCAAGGAACTCTAAAATGTCAATAGTCTTGAAGAAAAATGTTTCCACTAACAGCTAGTGGTGCATTGTCCTGTGTAAGCAGAAAGTCAGCAGCTTGAAATTAGTAATGTCTGCTTGACTCTGAATCTGTACTTTTCACTGCTCTGGTTTTTCACCTTCAGATTACAGAGGCATACATGCTTTTTATTTCCTTAGAAATTATTTGCTGACTGCCCTGTGTTTATTTGAAAAAAAAAAAAAAGCTTTTTCTACCAGCTTTGTGAATCCTGGTTTTTGTAAAATATAACAAAATAAAAGATAATAAGATAAAATAAAAACTATCACATCGAAGTTTGACAGGAAAAACCAACAGAAGGAAAAAAGCCCAAGAGAAGACACAAAGAGAGTCAGAGACCCACTCGTTCACACACTCAGGAATCCCATAAAAATACTACACTGGAAGCCATACTAAGTACACTGAGGACCCGTGCTGGTGCATAGTGTATGTGCTGGTGCAGACCTGTGTAGGCCCAGGGCATATCGCCTCAGTTTCTGTGAATTCATATCAGCTTTGCACAAGTTGATTTAGAGGGCTTCGTTGAGAATCCTGTTTTATTTGAAGCACACTTAGGAATAAGGAACATATAATGATCTTTGACCCCCAAATCTGTCTTTATTCTTGAATCTTTTCTTCCTCAGCTTCTACTGATTTAAGCATATTACTAAAAATCTGTCTCTCCTAAAAGACATAAAGAATTTGTTTACATTTTCTAAAGTTCCAGTAAGGGAGTCCATGATTGCTTTGAGTATCAGTACTGTACGCTATCCCTTCTAGCATCTTCCATGTGCTCACCAGTGTCGTGGGCATTCTCCATGGGGGCTGGACTGTACATCCATGGGCTGCTGCTTTATAACAAGTAATGTGTCTGTTTCTGGAACAGAGTCCAGCATGGAAGCCCAGATGCTACATGACTTCCCAAATTTCTTAGCATCTAAAGTCCTCACAGGATGTAAGTGGAAAACGTACATGTTGGGGAGCTTTTTGCT